GTAACTGCTTTTTCTGACATTTTATTTTCCGAATAAGAAATGTTGAGACACGAAGCCGATAGGCGGAGTGGCGCCGTTCTACTAGCAAAATGAAATCACTTTTCTCATGTGGGTATTTTTTGGACTGCATGACTAACATTTATTTTATTTTAATTGTAGCATATAAATCACTATGTTTCATTAAGATCAGGAGCAGACAGAAGTATTCTGTTTTCTTTGACGTATTCACATTTTTCTAAACGTTTGAATATCATCTCACTTTTAGCACTAGTGCTAAAAGTTGCCTTTTAGCATGGTTTGCATGTCCTAAAAATAACTGCTTATCTTAGCTGTTTAAAATATGTTTCAGTGATTTGCGGAGTGTGGGACTGAAACATCCTGAGCCATTCCCCCTAGAGGACGAAAAATTATTGGATTTCAACAATTTGGTGGTACTAAATGTACAGCCTGTTTTTTACAATACAAATGTCTCTCCCTGTCTTTTACAAAACACGTAGACTTGCATAGTGAACAATGGGGTGTCAAAGACAGCGAGGGCAGTGGCAGCTAGGCGCGGGGCCGGGCGGCGAGGGGGGGGGGGGCGGCGGCAGCAGTACACTCTGCAGGGAGCCTCTTGCTCTCTTACGTCACCTGTCCTCCCCTCTACGCTCCACGCCACGCCCCCGCCACACCTCGCACTCGACTCGCCAAACGGGACCTTCGCGCACTCACGCTTCTTCACGTATATCTTTCTTCATTTTTTCTATTCCTCAATTTTATCTACTACGGTACGCTAACAGCTGAATAGAGCTCCCATTAGTTATTATAAGAAACTTGGTAATGCAACGTATGATCCTATGGTATGTAGCCAGGAATATAAGAGAAAATTATTAGAATTTTAAAAATAACAGCAAATATACTTTAATTAATTATTGTATCATAAATTTTATGTTTGAAACAAACAACTTAAAACAGAACTACCAACACTGATTAAAACGTTTATCATCCACTATTAAATGCTTTTAACGCCAAATCAATTAAAACAAACGAAAGCTATTACTGTCGAAATAATCATATTCAGTGTTTAGCTGTTGATTAACATATAATGATATAATAAAATGAAAAAAGTGTCATTTGGGGCCGTTGTAAATAAAATATTGAATGATATCGTTTAATAGAACATTATAATTCAACTTTTTCATTAATAACTATTTTTAATTTGCTTCGAACACTATCAAATCTTACACCATTTTAGTCAGTATCCAATCATAAATCACACAACAATATTGTCTTTACTGTAGTTACTTTCTTTCTGGACAAGTACGAGTATTCAGATTCTAATGAGTATTGATAGTCTTCATAATTTTTTCATGATAACCTACTAATGTAATTATTTATTTTTTTAATTCGTAATTCATTCGTTTATTTGAAATGAATGAAGAGCATTGTATGACATGACTTAAACATTTGTATTGCACAGTCTTTATTTATTCAATGATGCTTTCTCCTGCGTTTACCCAGCCTCGGCAAACAGACGTTAGTAGCGGACTGATTACTGATTTAAATATTGGAGTGACATATTCTACAAGAAGTCTAGAATGTCCATTTATTAGGGGATATAAATTTGGTATTTCCATGTAGTGTATCATTGGACATTGCTGTAATACTTTTCCATTTAAGGGTGTGGTGGAGTTGTACATCTCACTGAATAGTCCTTTTTTATTCCACTCTAACTAACAATATTGTGATGCGTGATGACCACGCGATAAGACGCTCATTTTTAGCTTTGAGAGGATAAACATCGCAGGCTTGTCTGTTCAGTGAAGATGCAACGAAGTAAGCACTTTCACCATAGCATACACAAAAGACGAGGAAAAATAACATCCGCATTTGAAAGAGATTCAAACTAGTTCTTTTTAAGACACTGGTAGAGAGGAGATTCATTTTCTAGTCTCACCACTAAGACCGGGAGTACATACCCCGAGAAGTTGTTGATTGTAGCTCCCAACTGGAATTTCTGCTCATGAAGTGGGAAAACCTCGGAATCAAGCGCGATGATAGTTCACTTTTTTCAATGCCAAATACTTTTTATAAACATGTAATGTTTGTTACAAACTTAAATGTGAGTAGCGTAAACGAGCAGAAAAAACGGTCTCTATTTATATTATTTTTGGTAGTTATAAAAACCTGTGTATTGTAACCCTCACAGGCCTATCGACAAGAAAAGTAAAGAGTTATAGAAGAAACTGAGGGGCCATTACGATGGGTTATTTGTTGATGAACAATGGAGTTATAAATAACATTAGGTTTTGTTCAGATATAATTAATGACAGCTATAAGTTCTGTTACACGTTTTGCACGGGATATTACGTTATGAAAATATTTCAAAACCTAGAAAACAGTTAAGTCACATTAATATTGATAGTTTATTCACGTATTCTTTTTTTGGACGTTTTGAGACCACTCATCTTTAGGAGCAATAATTATATATTGAAAAATGGGCTTAGTTTGTGATAAAGTCTTCAAACATTTTGAACTACGCATTTTACATAAAAATACTTTCTTAAATTTACTAATAATATCTGTACACCTAAAAGTAACGTTTCAATAAAACATCATTTTTTAGTCAAAAAGTATTTTCGGACCTCGTAAAAAGTATTCTGAGGTGCGTTAAGATGGCGAATAAAGAAAATGCCCTGCCGTGCGCCCGCGAGCGTCTTATGTCGCGAGGGCCCCTGCGCAGGCGGGCGGGTGGGCGGTCACTACCACGGAGTGCGACCAGGGCCGTCCCATTACGAAAGCACCACCAGCCGTCCGCCCCCCTCGCCCGCCCCCTCGCCCCTCGCCGCGCCGGGTGCACCGTCACTCGCCTCTGGCACGCGCCGCGCACCGGCGGGCCCTCACCCGCACTCACGCCGCCCACGCCGCCCAGGCGCTGGGTTTACCCACCTCTCCACCCCACTCCCCTCTCCCCTCAGACTCTTTTCTTCGTTCAACTCTTTCCTCTTCTCTCAACTCTTTTTTCATCTCTCACTCTTCTCACCTCCTTCTCCTCTTCTCCTCTCCGCTCTTCCTCTTATGGCTCAGAGCATCAACTGATGCTCTGAGTCTCTGACCTCAGGGTCTCTGACCGTGAGGTCCTAGGTTCGAGTTCCGACTGTGGCAGGATTTTCGACACTAGGTAGATAGCTGAGCGAGCTCAGTCGGTGTCTGGAGTAGAATTCTAGCGGTTGGCTGCTCTGATCGGTAGTTTTCCGTGGATTCTTCAATCAACACTAGACGAATGCCTGAGCAGTTTTCTAACAAACGGGCCACGGTCCACGTTCGAACATTCATTTATCTTCTTTGTCCTATCCGCACCTCTTACTTACACACACTTACACTTACATGATCTACACTACCACACATATCAAAACACCGGTCGGGAGCTTAGAGCATGGCTGGAGCGATGATCCGCTGGTGGGAGATAACTGTTGGGAGAAAACTCCACTAACCATGAAGTCGTCGCCGGAACTCACCATCTAGCGGAGGAAGATTATCACGACCTCCCGAGGGAAAAACATACACTACATTTACGGGATGAACTTAGCCGTAGACTGGCCCGGAATCACTAAACAATCAATAAACATCCTCTTCTCTCTCTCTCTCTCTCTCTCTCTCTCTCTCTCTCTCACACACACACACACACACACACACACACATTCAACGAAGTGCTCATGTCCCCAGTCCTAATGTTGTCAAGCATGCAGTAAAGTATCCTCTATGTATATGGTTAAAAATAATTTCGGATGGGTGGAATGTGACTTAAGTGCAGTAAGCAAAACCTTAATAAGTATATTGATTATATTTTTCTGATCATTACTCGTAACGTAATGATCACTGATATTCTCAACCTGCAGTCAATGTTCAACGATGACGTTGCCAACGCCCCTGGTCGCTGGGTTTACTCACATATCCCTTCATCTTAGACATGCCGACGATTGTCACGTATATTCCTCTTAAATTTCGCAATGAAATTAGTTGTCGTTTTCGTTTTTTGCTCAATTAACTTGGGCCGCAACAGGTATGAACTGCATTATTGTAAATATCAAATTTAGTTTTTATCATTACACGGGCGCCCAATGCCACCGACTATTTTTTGACTCCCTCTTTAAATCTTGAATAATTTTTGCAAGAAATTTCATGAAAGTCAAAATAAACAACTCAAAAGAATGTTCTATAGTAATACCTCAATTCAATCCCGTTTGTTTCTAAAGCAGCTGATATTAATGTTTTGTTTTTAATTATTTTAAAATAATTACAATTAGCATTCATATAATTTTTCACGCATTCTGTCAATAAAATGTTAGGGCATATTGTCCTGCGTGTATGAAGCCATTATACAGTAACATTCCTTTGAAGCCCATTCCTATGAAAATAATTTGTAGTCGATAAGAGTGAATATATATTAAATAATATTCACAATGTTCTCTAGTAATGTTTACTTTCTCTCCTTACTAGGTACGTAGTAAAAAGAAAGTAATGCAAAGCCATGGCAAAAATTTGAAAACAGAAAAGTACGTTTGTGGAGCTCAGGTAGCAAAGTGTGAATAAATCTACTTTACGTACGTAGTAAATTAGTTTGTTTAACACGTTCTGTACTTAGAATCCACATTTTGTGGGTCCTTGACACGAACATTTTCGAAATTTCCTCAAAAATGGAAAAAAGTTTGTAATTAAACTTTGTTCTCAGATATACGTAAACAAGGAAGGCAACCATACGTAACCTACGTAATCATAGGTAAACAATGCTTAAAAACGTGACGCATATCTCATGTTCGTTAAAATCTCTAAATTTCAAAATTTTCAGAAGATCAAAATTTTGTGATATTTTTTTTTATTGAATGATAATTATTAATTAGCGAGTTATAAATAATGTGAGAAAGTGTGTGTATCATATTATCACTTGTTCACTTTTATTTCTCGTCTCTTCATTTTTGTTTTTCACTTGCGAGACAAATTAAATTCGTATTCATTTTCAGGGACTACATTGCTGGGGAAGACAGTGTCAGAGCTTCCGGCGATGACAGGAGAAGCGCCTAAAGCGTGACGTTACTCGGTCAAGGTAAGTCAACAGTAGGACAAGGAAATGTGATATCTTCTATTCTGAAATGTACGCATAGCCGAAGCCGAAGGGTTAACGATCTATTTCAATGATGAAATTTCGTTAGAAAAAACGACCTAGAATAATATTAATAATATTCAATATTCTACTAATATTCTATCTCGTTGGTTTCGAGAACTAACGACTGGGTGGATGCTTATCGCCAGAATGTAGGTATGAATGGGGTGAACTTTTAACTGAACGTCTTTAATTTCGGGCAGTGGGAAGTCGCGCGATAAAACAGCATATAACGAAAATACGAAGCACTTCTATTTCTTACATCTTTGCAACTACTTAGCTTACTTCGGTAGTATTATATAAAGGAAGTGGCCACTACTCGATCATGCATATATTGCGTGTGGAGATGGCTCTAAAGGTTTGTAATGAATGAATAAATGTTATTTGTGAATTTAATTAGTTTTTTCCTATACCGTAAACCCCATACCCCCTTTAAAACATCTTATAGCCCCACCCTAACAAAAAAATATTGTTCAACAGGTAATGAATCTCGGCTTTCGGTATCCACACTACATACATGAAACCGGACATGGGGAATAATATAATTACTATCACCTTTCTTTTAAAGTAACTCCACAAATTTTATTTTTTATGATATAATAATGGTAAAATAATAATAAAATTATTATATTATTATGTCGCAATTATTACGATTTAATTAATATATATTATATTAATGATCTTTTTAATTGTTTTGTTATAAACCTTTTCGAATGTACGAACGTTTTCAACGCGCTTCCTAATTTTTCCCGCAGTGACGCTGATGTTGATAGATTTGCAATGTCTTTTAATTTACATTCCTCAGATTATTTCACCAAGTTTCGTTGTGCCGTACAAAAATCGAGGAAAACGGCGACTTGGTAAAAAAAATAAAAAAACAGACGATACGTAACGCGAGACGATCGAACACGAAGGCCCATATCGTGTCTCCTGTCACCGGCCTGGCCTGGCGGGCGGGTACTTGGCGCGCAATTTTTACATAGTCGGCGCCCAGTCCGCGCCTCCGAGCGGCCGCCACGCGCCGTCGCGACAAATGGGTTTACAGCGCGAGCAACGAGGCCCTAATTGCTGCCGAAGCGCGCGCCTGGTTCCCACGCACCGCTGCCACGCCCACTCGATCTCCCCTTGGGCGGAGAACGGGCGCAGGCGACGCTTGGCAGGGCATGAAACGCCTCAAGGCGTTCTTACGTGGTTCCTGCCTCCAGTTACCCCCAAAACGTAGTGTGATTAGTGATATGGTAGACAATTTAGTCACATGTGAAAACCCCGGTAGTATCTATATTTAGGTTTATTTAGTGAAGAAAGAGTAAAAACTGTATATGACGTATTGGGCAGAAGATTATCTTCGCTTGCGGGGAATTTCCCCTTCAGGGATCTCTCCCCAGCGGGTCACCACCTCAGCTAGGGCAACTTCCAACTGCTTTCCCGACACGTGTGGTAGTGTGTGTGTATGAATAAGAGGAGAGGACACGACAAGGATTAGGAAGGAAAGATCGCGCGTGGTCCGTAGCTTTCTGAATGAACTGCTCTCGCATTCACCTGGTATTGACCGTATGAATCACGGAAACCTACCGATCAGAGCAGCCTGCCCTATAGAATTCTGCTCCAGACAGGTGTTAAATTCGTCCCAACTATGTAGCTTGTATCAAAAATCCTTCACCATCGGGACTCGGACACTAGAATCTCCCGGACAGAGCTGCTGCAAAGATAGCGGCAAAGACAGCTCTGCGGTAAATTCAGCCGGTCCGCTAGCGTCGAGCACTTAAACAACGCCTTCCGGCTTGAGCTTGTCAGTGATTCGATGATTGCAGGTTCGATTCTTGATGTGTTCGATCCATCGGCGAGTTTGTGGCTCCTACGGAAAGCAAATTCGTACGCCACCACCGCTGTTTAGTGAATTCTCTGATTCGCACCAGGCAAATGCTGGTACCGCATCCCGTCCGCCGTTCTACTTATCAATGCCGTCCGCACCTCCAGCAGTCATTGCGATACATTGATTTACAGTGTGAGGAACGGGTCCCTAATTGCTGCCGAAGGCATTCTCAGGGTCAAACGACAGACTGATAGCTGATCGCGTATTCTCATATTCCACCTTCTAATCTAAAGAATCTTTGGCTAGCGTCGGAGATCCGGCTTACAACGCAGAAACTATCATTATGTGATTGTATATCTTGAGGTTAGAAAACCGGAATTTAAAAACAAAACTAGGTATGGCATACGGCTCATTTTCTGACCGGGGCAAAGGGAATTTGTAACTTTCACAACGCAATCAATGTGTCTAGGGCAATATCTACTTTTCTGAGAGTATGATGGCTGTTTTGTGCTGAGGAAGGTGTTGCGCGTACGACCGGTGAGTAATTCGGATTTTCTCGTTGGTATCACAAAATACCGCACTGCTTCGGAAGGTTCTAGATTCGTGTATGGGGGAGGTATGTTTTCGCAACCAGCTAAGTAGCTGGATAGGACGATTCCTGGTTGAAAATTCTAGACGCCGCCGGTTGCTCTCATTGGCGCATTCCCTGATTACCTTTAATTTATTCAAGGCATGTGTCGCAGAAGAAATTTACGAACTGAACAACGGACCGAGCGCTATTCGTATTCTCCAACTTGCACCCACATCTGAAGTCTGGGTTGACACACATTCACATATCCCTCATTCTCAGTGATTAAGAAAAACTGGTGGTTCGTAAAAAAGTTTTTTTCAATATGAAATTGAGTAAATGGAACGCGGTACAGCACTCAAACACATACGCTCAGCGGTTTCTCTATTGCCCCAGCTGCAAACACTGGAATATTTTTGCAGAAACTACCAATTATTCCCCACGCCGGGAACTGAACCCGGTACATTACGTATGGAAAGAGATGACTCTGACCATACGCCGGCTACATGTTAATCACGGCTCAGCGATAAAGGTTGTTAATTTTGTCCGCTACTCTGGCTTAGTGGGGCTTGGCTTCAACCGCGCTGCTGCCGAAGATGCCAGGGCTGTCCAAATAGCTGATTCCCCTGACTCGATTCTCCGGAGAGATGAAAAATCCTTTATTTTTTTTCTCTCTCCCATTACTTAAGGCAGAGGTGGAATGAACACTAAATTATTTCGTTCGATATTAGAAAACTAAACTATTCTAGAATACCTCTATTATACCTTTTTAATGTTTCGCGCATAGTCATGTCAATAATAAAAATAAGTTATGATTCAAAAATAACAATCCTAATAATACATAATACGTGTGAAGACAAGTTAATAGTACATCCTTTACAATTTTAGGTGATAAAAGAAGTTAATGAAAAGCTTGTGATGATATGTCATGAAAGCTGGTGTTTACAATAAATACAAATTTGAAATTTTTTAAAAATTTCTTTCCAAAACTCCTAAAAATGCAACACATTTCTTCGCTATCCTGTTCTCTCAGAAGAGAGGGAAACAAAAATCTTAAATCCTCACCCAATATGTTGATAGTTTTTTACTGTCTCCTGAAGTATGAGAACAATTATCTTGATTTGATTAACTCGATCTTCCCAATATTTTTGATCATAGTTGAATGCTTACCGGGTTTGAGCGAAGAATTTGTCAGAAAAAGCTAAATTAAAATTAAAATTTTACTTCGCCTTACAGCAAATTGAATAATACAGTCATTGCAAATGTATTTATTTCAATAGGTATTTGCTCCGAAAGGAAGACAAACTTCTTTTAGCGCCATATCTCTTACGAAATGTAGGCAACCAATTTTCACAGAAAATGTACGTATGGTTAAAATTGGAAGCAGCAAGTAAAAAGAGGAAATATTTCAGTGAACCAAGATCCATTGGGTTGAAGCCCTCAATGAAGAAGAAAGACATGATTCTCTTGGCAGTATCAATTAACGAAATGACACCCATTCAGCTTTGGTTTACATTGTGGTTAGCCTTTGCCATCCTTGTCACAACCAAAACTCTTAAACATCTACAATGACTTACGCGACAATCGAACCCACAACCCGCAGGAGCTCTCTCTCTCTCTCTCAGGTGGACAAAAGAATGTACATTACTGTCAAAAAGTTGAAGAGGTAAATATTACACGCCTTCCTGTGCCCCAGAAAAAAAACGTAATCTTTCGGCGATGACCTCTTTCTGCGCTGCAGCGAAGGCAACGTGGAAAATTCCCTCGAGAGAGCATGGCGTAACGTTCCGATTGGAAACCTTCAAAGCCGCTCCTCTGGCAGCACCAAACGCACTACACACGGAGCAAAATTTGGAACAGTGGAGAGGGGATTCTACTTCCTCGCCGGTACATGATTGTATTTTACAAAGTTCCAACCAATGTATTAAGGTATGAGGTATATACTTCCTCGCCTACTGCACACTTAAGTTGTAAACAGAAAGTATTGTAATTGTGAGGCAAAAATTGAAGAGACAGAAAAACTCGTTTTGTGGGGTTCCGATAACGAAAAGGGGGATAAATCTTGTTCCTATATGCAGTAAATAACTTCTTCTAACACTTTCTGTAGTCAGAATCCATGCTATGTGAATCCTTGGTACCGAAAAATTGATTGATGGAAAAGCGACTGCCTGTTCGTCCTTTTGCGGTCAACGTTAGCGCGAACACATGGATTTTGTCTAAAACTGATATTCCCTGATCGATCTGAACGAACTTCAGGCTATGCGAGTTAAAAAAGGACATTTTGATATTTGGGAGTACTTAACATGAAGCCTCAATAACGCTCCAAATTTTCTCAAAAGTGACTCCAAATTTTTGGATTATATTTTATTCTCGGATAGTGTAAAGAGCGCTTAATAGTGCAGGACTCATTTTCTTCGGTTGATTAGTGTTTCCGGACGCGACAATATCCGGTAAATATTGCATATGGGAGGTGGCGATCTTTCTCCACTGGATGGCGAGATTCGGCGCCAACCTACATGTTAGTTGTCGGGGTTTCCCTAACCAGGCGTTTCCCATCAGCGGTG